TGTTAGGCGGCCATAACGGTAACCCTTACTCTAGCCCTACCTGGTATTTAATGCTTTTGGATGCCCGTCACTGGTTGCACAACCTCAGTACTGACGTGCTTTGTGGCCTGCAACGTCACGGACATCTAATTGTCCTTCGACACCTCACAAGGATATGTAGCACAAAATGCGCACAATTTCGGTGGGGGATGGGTTATCATTATTTCCTTGGTACATTTACTGGTGTGGGCGGACTGTCTGGTTTCGGTGCCCAATAACTACAACCCAAGACTGTCACTTATACGCATGCGAGGATATTTTGACGTACCATAGGTTGTCATTCTAACTTAGGCAACTTAACTACGATTACGGTTAGTTTTTATTATCAAGTGCCCTCTGTTTTGACGTCTTTCAATTTTCCCCACCTAGTACATGACCACAATTTCCAACAAATTCACATTGCTTGCGGGGAGTTTATGCTAAGTGAAATTAATCGAGAATTCATTTTCGGTGCTCAATTTGGGCATTCTAGACCCATTCCTTTGCTTGAGCTGATCGTTTAAGGCCTCACAGTTGACTGTGTCGTCCTCCAGCACCATTTACGCAGAACCGTATTCGTTAAACATCTGGTCTAGCGTCTCGGTCACCAAAAGGGTGGCTGTTTTGCGTCAGGCCTAAATGGGGATCAAGCACGTGTGTAACGCGTGTCAGGAGTTTATGCCTTGTCAGCCACTGCGTCGGATCACATCTCTCGTCAGCCTGACGTAGACTTTTGGCTTTACTTCAATAAGCGGGCTCTATGAATGTTCATCGATACATTTCACACCAAACGCATGGACGTTGAGGTTGGTGGACGAACCACCAAACCAAAGCTAGAGTGAAAGTAGTGCTACGTACAGCTGGCGCATGCCAAAATTTCGCTCTAGTCCGAACTTCTTTCAATTAACCACAAAATTCACACTATTAAGACAGCAAGTTCTGTCCCATTTTTCAACTTTTTTGGCCATCGTCTTTGCATTTACTGTTCTAGACCACTACTACTTCCGCTCCTTTACATGGATTTCTTGATTGCAGCAGGTTTAGGCCACTTGCTAACGTTTTGAGCAACAGTCTTATCAAGGAAGCAAAGCAACCTAACAAGCCCAAGTTGGCATGGCGTGGTTTATTTGCAGAGACTCAAAAAAGCAGAACTTTAGAAAAGAGCGCTTCGCTGTAACATTCGACAACGTAGTTATAATTATGCCAACGAGAACAGGTTTTAAAGAAGGTAAATGGTTGGGACAGATATGAGTAATAAAATGTTGAAGTCTACAAATCGAGGCTTTTTTAGTTCTGATGATCCAAAACTTTGTTATTTATTTTGACAGCGTTCTTCAGGACCATTGCTCCGCTCTCAATACGTACAGGGACCTCTTCAACTTCCAACTTATCTACATCGCTCGTGCTTTGAACTCCAAGTAAATTTAAAAAACAGCCGTTTTGGATGAAACGTTCTTTCAACGGTTTTTGATCGGTTGGGCTTGCAACCAAGTTTCCCTGTTTTCACAGCGTGACCTAAAGCTCACGCTTAACCGTAACTGATGATAACTATCTAGAGTTGTCTTCTAAAGAGGAACTATCACAGACCACAGAATGTGGGAAAGAACTCGATCGCTCATCTGAAGTCCCTAATAAAATCTCTAGAAAGAAGAGGTAACTTCACATATTTGGCCGCATATCGGAGAATAGTTAATTGGGCTGCGTGGTTTATGGACAACTTTTTCAAAAGTCTCAGTTCTTTAAACCCTCTTTGTTTTATCTCTCACAAGTGTACTTTTAAAGCGGATCAGCCCTTTGAGTGTTCGCTGACCGGACTAAACGTGAATGTTTGTATTGGCGAAAAATAAAAGACAAAGAAAGAAATAGCAAAAATCCACTTTTGAATTAAATTGGGCTCGAAATTAATTCGAAAGTGCAAAAGATTTGATAGTTGGAGTTTGTGATCCCCGTCAGTGTGACTTATGAATAATCGAACACATTTGACTGCATATAAGTGTAGAGTGACGGCGGGCTCATAGAATGAGATAGGTGCCTGTTTTCCTGTTCCACAATCATTGCTAGGGTTGCAAATGACTTATTTATTCGTAAGGTGAGGAATGAGCAGTCGCATGCATAGGAGGCTGGGAATGTGCTAAACATGAGCCTAAATGAACATTGGAAGGCAACTGGACATCCTTCAACACATTTGAACGTCCTGTGCAGCTTATTCTCCTATTGTCGATCTTCCCAAGACTCTCTTCTCTCACCCGATCATTGAAGACTTATATCTTTCTATGCATGGATGTGCACAAGTTTGTCTCCAGCACCTGCCTTTGCAGACAAGGGAGTGTTAATTCCAATCACAATGCAAACCCTTCTGTCTGCACGAATAAAATTGGCCGTGCTCTTCGGTTTTTAACAACTAGCAGACGCTTGTTCGCACAGACGACTTTATAATCGAAAACTCAGAGATGTTTAATGCGCACCATTGCTTAGGGTTGGTTGGCCTGCACTACTATATCAACGTCTATACCCTGCTGTTGAAGTTGTAAAAAGATTTGAAAACCGTTAACGCCTCTCAGCGCTAATCTGGCACTCCAGTGAACCCTGGAATGTAATAACTTCGTTGCCATGTTTTTCGTTGCAGCGACTGCGAGGAGGCACAAAACTATGAGTCCTCTTCAATAACAAAATTATATCTTGCTTTCTCATCGTATTCAGGAGTGAGGCGAGCCAAAAGGTGGAGTACCTGATAGCCCTGATATCGAAATACCGAAGATTAGTTGACAAGCCAATCGAGGAGCTCAGCCGCATCGTAGAGGAGGAAATGCAGAGAGCGGAGAGTGGTGGCCTACCCACGATCGCCCGCCCCAGCTCGTCCAAGTCTCGTGCCAAGAACTCAATGATGGAAAAGTAGCTTCTCTTAGTGAAAGTGGAAGAGGCTGAACTTTTTCGCTTGATCTACTTTTCGTGTATACCTGGTATTACAATAAAAAATACCACTGTGCCGATAGCGAAATGGGCTTGAATACACCCTTTTGGCAAATCCCAACAAATCTGCGTCTAAGTGACTTGATTTTTCAGAAGGTAAATTTTTGTAATAAGATCTTCAATGTGTGTGTGTGAAGGTTTTAGCCTAGGCAACTGAATCCCGAACGAATACGAATGACTCCTTTTAATGGGTAATGTCCTACTTGCACTTCTACCCTGTCATGGCGGACCCGATATTTCAAGAACAAACGAGGGCCGGAACTATTGTTCTAGCCTTGGAACGTCCTCTGATCCATCCGCTAAAAGCGGTCGAAATTGGCGACTGCAGTAGATTTTAGTTGTCAACGTTAAGTGCTCTGTACTCTTCTTAGGAACCTCCAAGAGGTCCATTGAATTTATACTAACCAATCGCAAAGGCGAAGGTATCTCACAAACTTTCCAGTTTAATTGACCAACAACCTCCACGGGTTGATAGGATGTGACCTATGTGTGTCACAAAACTTGCCTCGACCTGCCCGATGTTTCGACCACCTGATATGCACTTTTTTCCTTTGCACGGAAATCCATCGTTTATTGTGCCTTTAGAATAGTTACACTGTTTGTTGGGATTTCCGATGCATTTTCTCGGTTTCGCCTGCAACCAAGTCCGCTTTGCGACTCTAACCCCAAATTTTGCATCAGCACAGCTAAATCCAGTCCGTTAAACAACTGTGTACTTTTTCGTTTTAAATTAGGGGCTGCTTCACCGGTCCACCAAGCTCTTGTATCCATACCGGCCTCCAATTTCTGGATTTTTGAGTTTGGCTGTGATTGCTATAGTGAGAAAGGTAGCAACTCCAATAGTTCGGTGTAAGTAAAACTTGCTGGCCGACCTTGCGTGGAGTTTTGAGGTATCAACCAACAGTATAGTTATGAGGATATCCCTCGTGTAGCTAGATGCAGAACGGTCAGACACATCTTTGAACGACAGCAAACTAAATAAGGGAAATTAGATTGAATTGTTGTTTGATTCGATTTAAACGTGACACATGAATGCTACGTTCTGACATCAGCTCTCTTGTCACTAGTGATGTTCTGTCTCGTGAAGGATGGAAGTCCCACTGGTAGTCTCTAACGCGAGGCCTGTCTCATCTGGTCGCGTATCTTTGAGGAAACTCTTGATAAACCGTCACCCTCGCGCCGTAATTATTATCAGAGGTTGACTTCAGTCACAATTGTGTTCTTTTCTAGTAAAAAAATGACTTTCGCAAATATGTCTATAACGCCCAATTTTGCGGCACACTACTGGTGAGGTAGTCGTCGATGAATGCATACACAGGAATTTTGAGCGTCGTAACTCAAAGACTGTCGAATGCCAGCCTTCCTTAGCTACGCTTATAAGTTTATCGCGTATAAAATTCCTTGATTGATTTCTTTATATGAACCGATCTTGGGAACCGAAATCGGCAGTCTAAACTGCACTGGTCAGACCTTATTATTTTTTATTTTTAACGGAATAATGGGATTTATTTCCGTCCGAGTGTGATTGTTGCCAAACGGTCAACTTCAAAATGCATCCCAGTCACCTTTAGGAAAACTCACCAAGAATGTCTTTTCAGAAACAGAAGGAATGGCAGGCATTAATCCGAACTAAGCTGTTATGCGCGTTAGTGGTGACTTTCCGGTCTTCACAACGAAGTCCTCACTCAGATACCGCTTAATTGTATTGTGTTTTCTAAGCCGTTACTATCCTTACCAGTTATCTCCTTGCGTATAAATTTTGATTCCTGTCAGCAAAAAGGCTATTTGTTTCTGTATCCTGCTAATACCAAAAGGGGCAGCCAAGCCTCCATGAGACGAGAAATAAAAAACTTTATACATTCATAGATAGTCAACAAGGTAATCCTTGCATTCGCTGTCTTCAGGTTACCTGAACCATATTTTCCACTTTTAAATTAGGCGGGCGACAATGGCGCATAAGAGCATTTGTTTTATTTTTACTCCCAAGGCAAATAAATGTGGGTTTATCATCCTCAGGCGTTTCTGGGTGTCATGGGGTCGCCTTGACGTTTCACTTGTCTGGTTTTGGGTGGGTGTTCAAGCGACGGCAACCGAACAGTGGTGGTAAAAAGGCTCTGGAAGATGATGTTGGTGTGCTCTGAGGGTAAGCAGGGTAATAGGCACTCAATTACCCATGGTTCCTGCCGAGCAAGTTCTTTGAATTTGTTTAGAGTTATCGGCTGATTTATGGTACATTGAAGCTTCTCGCACAAGTAGTTAATGGTATCTCGAACCGGCTCATCAGGGTCGATTTCTGGATTTTGGGCGGCAATGTTTACGTCAAAGGTATCGTACAGGAGCCGTCGAAACTCGACAGTCTTGCGAAGTAAGCCGTCTGAGTCAATATCCATTACATGAAATGCCAATTCGCAGCGGTCCTCTAAAGTTCCACGCAACAAAATAGAGAGAGTAAGGAGGAAATCCATTGGACTGATATTTTTCCTCTGGCCGACAACGTGGGGTGACTGAAGCATAGCGGCCCTGCAGAGCCCATCCAGTGCGAATGGATTGGTCATCTCCAGAGTACTGTAGAGGAACGCCTTCATCTCTTCGGCGGTCATATCCCTGACTTCAAGACCAGTAAGTTGGACAAACATGTGCAAGAGGATACTCACTTCCGTGCGATTAAAATAAATTTTTGGGTGATTGAACGCCTCAACAGCGATGTTCATAATAGCACTCCGAATTTTCGCAGACAAGTTCTCACAACTCGACAGGTGTTCCAAGTTGCCTTTGTCTGCTTTAACGAATGCATTTATGCAAAAGTCACGTGGTTTTATTTTTTTGCGGGCTTGAATGACCTCATCTCTGAAGGGTGCGAAATAAGAGGGTAACTCAATGTTGAGTTTTACTGGCTTGGAAGATTTGGCTTTGAATCTTTCGTTGCCCAGCATTTCCCTCCAGACCCTTGAGACTCGGGCAGCGAGGAAGCCTCGACCTCGCGTGCAGCTTGTGCAGTACTTTTTAAATTATTGATTTGTCGGACGGATATGATGGTGCTAGCATGGGAGAACAAATACTGATCACTGGGCTTTATCTCTCACTCCTGTGGCAAATGTGTGGCTGTGCAAAAGTTACCATCACTACCCGCTAATGTTGTACTGATAATAACTCATCCCATTGATAGTGCAAATCTTCCGTTGTTTGCAGGGAAGGCAATGGGCAACAAATCGCTATACAGGTTGTCCCAGTGTCCACGTCATGCATTCTGAAGGAGCGCGTGGCACAGGACTTGGATCGTCTTCTTGAATACACCAATACAGTCTTACGATGGGGAGCTTAGCAACGAACATCCTTCCGACTAGGCTTGATATCATCGCCATGACTCCTTAAAATCATACCTTAAAATGAAGATCTGTCGGCGTTTCTGCTGAGAGGAAAAGTGGCTTTGTGTAATTTGCACAAAGAAGCGTTTTCTCAGTCGGACCACAATCCGAGAGAAAGAATGAAAATGAGGAAACTGAGGATGGAAGTGATCGAAGGGATTGCCGGAGGGAGGAGGGGGCTGAAAATCGCAGATGGTTAAATATTCCAGATCAAGAAATCATTCCTGTGGATATAAACCGCCACAATGAAGGCTGCCTCCCACCTCCATGAGAAGCCAATCAACGAAAGGCAATTTACTCAAATGTACGAAGCCTGCTCAACAAAATGGACGACCTTAGAAATGTAGCTGACAAAAATAGCCGCGCTTCACTGATGCCATATGGTTGGCTTCCCAAAACAATTTTAGCATACCTAATTTAGCCACCCGCTGGACTAGAAAGGGAAAGAGAGCACGAGCCGAGTTCAAAGCATGAGCAGAGAAGCGCGTGCGGGTGGCGTGTTCACCCCCTTCCCGCCAAACAACCACTCGCTGGATTAGTAGGATGAGGAGGGTGTAATCCCAATTGGAAGGCCACCTTGAGAAAATCGCATGGTAATTCGCAGTGCATGGCCATTATACTAGAACCTACGGAGTCCCAATCCATCCGAACAATTCCATTAGCAAGCCCACCTAGCCACTCTCCGAATAAGTATATTAAAGGGAGCGGAAGCAGGGCTTGAAGCAGGCGCAGAGGAGCGCGTGTAAAGTGATACCTGACGTAAACTACGATGGCGTATAAGCACTCCTCCCCCGTGACACTGTCACTCGCTGGGTTAAAATGGTAAGAATTGTGAAAGAACGTGCTGGTTTAAAAGTCAGCGTACCCGCATCTGCTAAAATTTTTTAGGAAACTGACCATATGGTATCACAGGAGTGGGACTGCAGAACCAAACCTCGCCATAAAATAAAATCCTTCATCATGGTTTTCACAGAAAGGTGGCTTTCTGTAGGGCTTGCCGAATGTAAAGTATGACTCGGGGGCATCAAAACTTCAGAGATCATGCACAGATGAACGGATCGTAGTTTGTGTCACTTGCGTGTAAACCGCCATGGCCGGAGCACACAGTCGGACGCAGGAAGTGGAAATGTTAAGCTTAACAATGCCCACCAACCACGCCCAGCCGCTAACGCTACCAGTGGCATATCGTTCGCCTCATCTCATAAGTGAACTGCACACAGTCCATCGGAAGGAAAATATCCTTATCGTCGGCGGCGTCAATGTTCATAATATTGACTGACAGGTATGAAGCGCAAAGGGTCCATCAGGCAAGTTTAGTGACAAATTGATGCAGTGGGCAACGAACAGTCCTTGCTGCCAGAAGGTTGCTTTCGAAATGCAGACTAGATAAGCCCAACGGTTAAAACGTCTTTATTGTATTTTTACCCGTGGTGAGGAAAATTTGCTTGATCGGTATGGGGTAGAGATCACACTGCGCTGGGCTATGAGAATTCATTGTTCTCTGAACAAAATTTTCTTGATGGGTGTGAAACATCTGTAAAGGAAATTATTCACTTATGAGAACAGAGGTCTAAGACGAACAAGGGGAACCTGAATTAAATTATTGAGTCAATGCTCGGTGTAGGACTTTCAGTCTGTTGCCCAGATGAATTTTAACTTCAGCTGACCACTCGGAAGAAAGACAATCATTAACCGCCGAAAGTAAATGAAGTCGAAACTGCAGGTCTCTTAAAAAAACAAATCGCTTTTGGTAGCACAACATAATCACTGTCATCGAAGAACGCTTAAGTGAATGCAGGTTAAATCGTAAAATTTATAAAAGTGAGGCTAATAGGCTTTGAAGTAAATCCTAACTGAACATATTGCAGAACGCCCTGTATATGGTTACATATGGAGCACTGAAAGAAACTCGGACTTGTTACCTGCCCCTAGGTCTTTAGACGCAACAGTGAACACTGATGATCAAATTAAAGAATCCATCCTTTCTAATTGCCTTCAGTTCGTCTTAACTCGGTAGCCTGATCCTTGTTTCATTCTACCTGTTCTTCCAAAAATATCCCTCTCCTTTGCCTCAACAGAAGAACTGTACATACCGCTGCCACTGCTTAGTGTGAAATTACTCCGATTGAAAAGCCAAAACACTTGGTTCGGACCAAGTGCCGCATTTCAACATCGACAAATTGCAAAAAACGGTGCGAAGCATTGTCAATTATATTTCTGAAGTCTTTCGAAGAAGGGCAAATCTCGGCGGAATGGAAGAGTACCCTTATCCTCCTGATCTATATGAAGGACCAAACTAGACTCTGTAAATCACCGTTTAACAAATAAAGCTCGCGTCTCGAGTAACTTCGTTGGGCGCACTAAAAAAAGACATCTAACGCAATAGCTGGACACCCTTGCCTCACAAATGTTCTTTACTCAAAAACATTAATGGATAATGATCTCATACAGGGACAGTCCCGTAGATGGTATATTTTCTGATTCAAAAGGACCTTCGATGGCACACCAACCGATTTATCTTACAAAAGGTTTGGGAAATAGGACTTCGAGGCAAAATGTTCAAATTTTTTGTGTTTCCTGTCCGCCAGAATACAGGGAGTTGTTTAGGTACTTTTACCTCGGGACGGGTAAACGATGCATTTGATGTTCTACATGGTTCGTTGTTGTGCCTACTACTATTTCTGGTTTATGTTAATGACTGCACCAGGCAATTGGCTTGTGAGGCAGTCATGTTCGCTGATGATATCGAAATTGGGCCTAAGTCGTATGTGTTGACGATTCAGAGAAGTTGCAATAGAGCATCGACAGTTTGAGTGCTAGATCGAACTGATGAGTTCAAAAGTTTAATGTGTCCAAAAGCGTGGTCTTACAGCCCAACGCCGACCAATACGTCTCTCAGAACCATAAGTATCTAGTTAACAAACATTCGTTCGGTTTCACTTGGAGTACGACATGCGGGTCCGACGTCCCTGGTTCAAGAAAAATTACCAGATGCCAGAAAAAATGCAGGCCAGGATTACAAAAGTGGTGAATAGTGTTGGCGCTCTTTCATAGGAAGCTAGATTATTTGAATTCAGTTTACTTCCTCCAAAATACAAACAACTGCACGGTGGCCTTATTCAGACGTTCCGGATTGTTAGGAGTCGTGAGCGCGTTGAAGAGCGAGAACTTTTGAATTCGCTGTAACAGACTGTCTGTCTGATCACCTCTTTAGGATGCAGAGGACGTTGACCCATACGGACGCCCGAACGAATGCCTCCTTATAAAGATTCATTGGAGCCTGGAACGGACTGCCTGCTACGGCAGTTTTTCCAGACACCACTGGGGCATTTAAATGCAAACTTGATACTAATTTTGTTGAGAAAATACTGTGCATTTAATCAATATTATAACGCTGGCGGTAGTTTGTGCAGGCATCAAACATCTCGAAAACTATATTTTCCAGAACTACTGCTCTAAAAATGAATCATATTGCCTTTTCTGATATAACTAAATAATAAAAGTGCGAAAGCCTTACACCTTAAAAAGTTGGTTTAAACAGTGTGCTTTCCACTAACGTGAAATGTGCTCGGGCGGAAATATCTAGTTGCGCCGACCACAATGGCAACGCTGAAGTGGGTCATATGCTTGTTGTCAGAAAGAGAGCTGATTGTTACGATGTGTTGTGCACGATGTGAAGCTCCTCGCATGTGACCTTGAGAAGCATGTGTGGAGTCAGAGGGCAGGGCATGATTATTGGGTATGGCTTGCAGTTATATTTAAGATTTTTATGAAGGAGTGTATGGTCAAATAGTCCTATGAGATGACCGAATGTCTTTGAGCAGTGTGGACAGGTAAAGCGAGTGCAACGGGTGTTTAGTGGCGGTGGATTCGCAAGTGCCTGAGCAGGTCAATGCGCGATACATGTGCGCGGTGCCATTATGGACGGGACGGAAGTGTGGCTAGCGAACAGGCGATATGGCAATTCTTTTAGTGGTAACGATGCTGGCGATGGTGCAGTTGATAGTGCGGGCAATATATTGGTTTTCGGGTGTCAAGGGCAGGTTTCTTGCAACGATATTGTTGGGATTTCGTTATCATGGATACTCAGGTGGTCGATTAAAACCAGGCGGTCCATACAGTAAATGACCTAACTCACAAATTGTCATAACCGACATTTGAATGGGTAGTATGGCATGCATTTGGCGTCGTTATTTATGTTTGTTGAATCGATTCGGAGCATAGAAAGTAGTGTGTAAATATCCCTTATAAAGCTAATAAAAATATACCCT